GGAAAGTGATTAGTGATGTTTGACATGAACACGCGTGTGGAGGAGGATAAGATACACCATTTCCTGATTCAGATCTAGTTTTTTTTTTGTTGTTTTTTTTCGATAGAAAGCTCCCACGCAGATTCCAATGCTAGCCTGGCAGTTGTGCAATACTTGCAGTGTGCCAGGCTTTACATATCTAATGTAATCCTCAAAGTCACTCATGAGGTAGTTCAAATGAGGAAATGCATAATGGAGAGACTTTCACGAATGAGGGAAAGCCTCACAGAGGTTAAATGATAGGTCAAGGTTGTCCAGCCAGGATGTGGGAGGGGCTTGAGATCACACAACCTCCTTCCAGGGCCCTGTCTGTCATCCCAGCCTGTCCTGTCTTTCTCTTGCTAAGGCTGCATAGACTGCCGCGGGGCTGACGAAAGACTCAATGATCTGTATTCCAGAAGAAAATGCAAAATCAATTTATAGAAACAATTATCTTTGGGCTTCAGGCTCTGGAATAAAAGATGAGATAGAGGCATCTCACCAGAGAGGACAGCACAGACTTACTCCTTCCTGTCCAGTGTGGAACACTTCCATGCCTACTTCCGTCAGCCCTGCTGTCTTCCCAGATGCGAGGAGGTAAGCAGCTAGGAAGGAGGCTCCAGCATCGGAGGGTGAGACATTGGCTCCCTCCTCTCCAGGCCACCCAGCTGGGTCACTGATTCTGAGTGGCAATTTAAGTGTTTACCTTTATATGTGGGAAACACACTCTTTGTATTTTTTTTTAAAGAGGATACTACAGGACTATGCCAATGGCTTAGTTATTGAAGTCCTTGCCTTCTATGCATAAGGACCTGACCACCCCTAGAAAAGCCAGACGTGGTAGTGGTTTGTACTTGCCTCTCGAGTGCTGGGGAGGCAGTTACAGGTGGATCTCTGGGGCTCACTGGCCAGCCAGCCTAACCCAGTTGGTGACTTCCAGGCCAGTGAAAGACGATGTCTCAAAACTAGGGCAGGTGGCACTTGAGGAATGACAACTGAGGGTGTCCTCTGGTCTTCACATGTACTCAACACACATACGTGTGCACCCCGCATGCACACACACACGTACACACAGACAGATATCTGGTCACATGTCACAACAGTGTTTGAATCACAACAGACCAGAGCTGATGGTGGCCTAAAGTTTCATTACGAAGTTAGTGATGTCTTGATCAAGTTTAGTTTGTGTAAACATGCAGAATGGTGTTTAAGAATACATGTCTTAGACTGTCTCCCATTAAGTAATGCAACAGTATGGGGATGTAGGTGTATCTATTTACTGGGTCTTTTATATTGGCTTAAAGAGACTTTTAAATTCTATTTACTTCATTTACTAGCTTAACAAATACTGAAAAGCTCTGTGTCACTACATGTTGGGTTTATGAGATAATGGGACATGGGATGTGGCCACTGCCCTCTGAGCTTGCCGTTATTCGCTGGAAAATTTGGTCCTTGTCCATGTAGAAACATGAATGTTTAGTGAAGCCCCTAGTGAACAAGGCAGAGGTGTCTGTAGGGGAGGGAGGAGAGGCTTGGTAAGCAGTCCTTACGAATCCTTGAAGGCCAGCAGCAGCACTGACTAGCCTCAGAGTAATGAGGACGAAATGTGGTTAATCTTGCCTGTTGGCTTGACTGCATTGAGACCTGCCGAGAAGGTTCCTAAAGCATGCCTCTGAGTGTGTCTGTGAGAGTGATCCCATTAGCAAAAGGGGTGGGGAACCTTCCCTGAGTGTGGGTGATATCACCATGTAGCCCTGGTGGAATATAGGAGGAAAAGGGGAAGAGCCCATAAACACAGGTGCTCTCTCTGCCTCCTGGCTGCCGTGATGAGGACACTGTTCATTTTGCCTTCCCACCCTGACAGACCAAGTTTCTGAGACTGAGCCAAATGACCCATTCCTCCCTGAGTGATTTGCTCAGAATATATATATATATATATATATATATATATATATATATTATCAGCAACAATTTTGATGGACATAGGAGGGTACTTGGGAGTTTATGTTATATTATTTATATTTCTTTCCATGTTGAAAGATCACTGTGGTCACACTGGGAAGAATGAATAGACAAGGGATACAGAACTAGAGGCCAGACAGGGAGGTCAAGGACATGAGACAAGGCTGATTTGCTGGTAAAGGGAAGGTGAAGTTGGCTAGACTCAGGACACAGTGTGTGTGGGTAGTACAGGAGCTAGTCCAAGAGGTGGGGAGATGGTGACCTGTTCCTAAGGCAGTGATGCAGGCAGTCAGGTCTGGGAACATCTCCTATGCCACCACGATGCCACAGAAGACATACCTTCTCTTATATTTGTGAACTTCACCTGAACTATAGATTAGCCTTGGTCTGCCCAGGAAACCAATTGCTAAGGAAAAAACTTATACAGAGAAGTCTATGGTTTTGTGGATTTTAAAATTTTTTGAGTGTTTTTATCCTAGACAATGAGAAAAAGAATCTAACAATGACAAAGGTAGTATTGAATAAAAAGAAATACCCTGCATAGTCTCTGTGTTTTTCACTTTCCTCTTAATATCCCCATCTTAGTTCATTGTCCTTGTAGTCCACATGAGTGGCGTGTGGCGTAATAAAATAGTTTCCTCTCATCAGTACCGCAGATATCATAGTTCTTCGTTGTTCTAAGCTGTGCCTCGGATACATTGCTGTCACATCCGTTGAGCTCAGGTAGAGAGAGCATCAACAAACCAAGAAAGGACTCCATGCAAGTCCAGCTTGGTGACCCAATGAGTTCTACTAGATCTACTTACAGGAACATAGGTTGACCAGACCGCCAAGGGTCCCGCCAACAGCATGGAGGACTCTTGAAAAGGTGCCCTCTGAGAGTCCATTGGACTACTCTTAGGCAGCGACACTACTGGAATGTCTCACTAAGTTAGTTTCCCTCTTACATATCCGTGGGGAGAGACACCTCTTGAAGGTCTCCTAAAGGCTCCTAAGCCTCCCAGTCCTTCTGTGAAGGAAGACTAATAAGCCTGGTCTCTTGAGGGCAATGTGCTGGTGATCACAGCTGCTCTGACTCAAGATGGCAATGGCATCACCAGTTCTGGAGGGACCAGCTGCATTTGATAAAACCATGAGTGTAATTTTTAAGCACTCTGTGAGGCTTCCTGATGAGAAGTGGAACTTAATGTTCTGTTATGTAGATCCTCTTTTTTCCTACCTACATTTTCCCTCAGGTTCAACTCTTACAGGTGGGGTTAGTGGGTTAAAGGAAGGAGTTTCTGATTTCTTGGCAAGGGTAAAGGTGAGACTCTAGGCTCATTGGTCAGGATTAAGGGATGGGTCGGGGGTACTGATAAGGCAGAGCCTTGGTCTCCATGTGTTTACAGGGATGCAATGAGCATATGAGCGAGCCAGACAGGGTCATCTGGAACCTTTCATCGTGTCTCTGCTAATTGTGTTCAACAGTGGCTGAGGGCCCCAGGAAGCTGCCAAGCCTGCCCGCTGTCTCTACTCTGGGCTGTTTGCTTCCCTTTTCTTGGATTTTCTTTCTTGAAAACCAATAGAAAACCCTGAGATGAACTTATGAAATCTGGGGAACTAAAAGGAGCCTCGCAGACTCACAAGGTCTACATCACCTAGGAAATGCTACAAAGGATGCTGAGAAGCCCATGATTTGGATAGGAGCCTGCTGTGGCATGGTCCCCACCTCAATCTAGTGTCATATCTCCTCACATGTGGACCAGGTGGTTCACCAAGATCCTCTGGCATTCGCTCGGGTTGTTTCCTGGTCACCCTTGGCCAGAGCTTAATAGACCTGTTGTGACTCTTAAGCCATGAGGAGGTTGAATGTCAGGATTTAGTTGTTCCTCCTGTGTTCTTCTATGTAAACAGTCATATATGAGCATCACTAAGGACAACACTTAAATGTGCTCAGATGGAGCATTCTCCAGGGTTCTCCGCTTGGGGGTCTTGAGAACAAATGTGTGTTGGAAGCCCCAACCTGGAGGCTCATTACATCTCTACTTTGCAATGGTGGTGGGACTTCAGGGCTGAAGGGCTGTTGATAAGCACCAGATATCTGTGGGTCCCCAAAACAGTTGTCCCTGGAACAGTGCTCGAATCACAGTGGGGTGCCTTGGCCTCCTGCTGCACTTCTTGTTTAAATACCAACTTTATCAGTATGCTGATTGTTGGACGTCGTCCGGGGAGACATCCTTACTCACCCTGGATTTCAAGGATTCCCTTGTTCTCTTGGGTGGTCAGCTTCAGTAAGGACCCTCTGACCAGTGGTCCAGCACTTTTCCGTTGTCCAGGCCTGTAAGAACTTGGTCCCTGACACATTCCTTTACAAAACAACATGCCAGAGTTTGATGTCTAAGCTGCCCTATCATTGAGGTTGAAAACTCAGGTAAAGGGCTAGGGAGATGACCCAGTCAATGGCTTCCCCTGCAAGCCTGGGGGCCTGAGTTTGATTTCTAGAACCAATGGAAAATGCTGGATTTGGTGGCATATATTTTAATCCCTGTGCTGGGGATTAAAAGCTTGATAGGCATACGAACACATGCTGTTATATGTCAGTGAAGCTTATGTGAGTGTGATACAGGCAGATACAGGTGTGATCTCTTGGGCTCCTTGACTGGCCAGCCTTGCCAAATTGGTGAGCTCTAAGCTGGTGAGAGACTGCCTCAAAACAAAACTCAAAAACAAAGTGGATCATACCTGAGGAACGACATCCGAGGCTAACTTCTGGCCACCGCATGTACACACACACACACACACACACACACACACGTCTGCCTCCTTAACCCCACATGCGCCCTTGCACGCATACACATGAGTGCACGTACACACATGGCTTTATAAAAATAGCCAGGTGATTGAAATTCTCTCAAGAGGGTAAGCTCTGGTGTGTTCCTGACTCCTGCAGAGAACAGGCTCACTGACACATTTAATGACATGTGTTAGCATGCATGTCAAACTTTACACTTAAACTCACATTTCTTTCTTTCTTTTTCCAGCCAAACACCATGTCAGTGGCAACAGAACAGTTGAACCTTTCCCAGAGGGAACACAGATGGCTGTATTTGGTAAGATATCAACTCAGAAAGAAAACCCAAATACCGTGCAAAGCTTCCTGCCAACTTTCTTAGCTGTAGTAAGTGTCCTCGGGGCTTCAAAATCTGGGCTCTTCTAGATATTTACAAGTCGTTACAGCCAAGAAAACTCTTGAGTTCTTAGTAATTTCTGGGCCCAGGAATACTTACTTTGTAGAATCTGATATGTTTTCTTGTCTAACTTTGACAGCCCAGATATCATGCTGTAAGATTGCAGTTTCCTTCGGCCACACTGTGAATTAACCTAATTAATTTAGGATTTGAGCTTTTCTTTCTCTTTCACACAGATGCACAACTTCTATCAAGTTGTGTGGAGTCATTATTGCGACTCACTCCTAACTAGATGGCCTCTTTCTTCTCCATGGATTGAGCACATTCATGGGTAGGATCATTAATTAAAAATATTTCAAGTGGAGCTGAGTCCAGTCCTTGGCTATGTACCTAAAAATTACAGTTGTGAGTTTTTGAAAGAAAACTATTTATTTATTTATTTTTGGCTAATTCTGAACCATTTGGTGAAGTCTTCTTTGTCCACGTATCCATGTCCACAGCCTCTGTCTCTCACACCGCCTTCCACACGTCCCTGCTTCTGGCAGTTTTCTGTCTGTCCTTCCCTGTCTCCTCTCCTCCTCCCCTTCATTTATTTATTTGTTTGTTTGTTTGTTTATTTATTTATTTAAGATTTCTGTCTCTTCCCTGCCACTGCCTCCCATTTCCCTCCCCCTCCCCCAATTAAGTTCCCCTCCCTCGTCACCCCAAAGAGCAATCAGGGTTTCCTGCCCTGTGGGAAGTCCAAGGACCACCCACCTCCATCCAGTTCTAGTAAGGTGAGTATACAAACTGCCTAGGCTCCCACAAAGCCGGTACGTGCAGTAGGATCAAAAACCCATTGCCATTGTTCTTGAGTTCTCAGTAGTCCTCATTGTCTGCTATGTTCAGCGAGTCCGGTTTTATCCCATGCTTTTTCAGATCCAGGCCAGCTGGCCTTGGTGAGTTCCCGATAGAACATCCCCATTGTCTCAGTGTGTGGGTGCACCCCTGGCTGTCCTGAGTTCCTTGCTCGTGCTCTCTCTCCTGCTCCTGTGCTTCTTCGGCCTCTGGGCTCTTCTCTCCAGCAGTGTCCTGAGGTCTTCTCAGGCAAGGCCCCTCCGATTTATTGGGACCTTAGCTTGTCCTCCTCCATCCCTGCTTACCAGCCACTATGAGATGAGTGGCTCTGCTGGGCCATGGCCTCCACGTTGTGATGCTGTACCTCACCACAGGACTTGGATGATGGGCCAAGCCATCGTGATGGGCCAGGCCATTATGGGCTCCAGTCCTGAGCAATCACATATTTTCTCAGACATTTTTTGACACAGTGATGTCTAATAAATCCTTGTTGAGAGAGAGAAATGGCACAGGCCAGTCCTAACAGGCCTCTGTCTCCTGCAATGCTGTGAGAACTGGCACACATTGACCTCAGAGTTGGAAGCATCAGGACATGTAACTCCATGTCAAGACTCCCTTCCTTTTTCATTCCATATTAATTTCCAGTGGTTTACTAAAACCTCACTAAACGCCTTCACAGTTTGACTTTGGGTAAGATGCTTCTTAGCTTTCTGTTGGGTGAATCCTGAGCCCTCTCTAGGTCTGGGCCTTTGTTCTGCCTTCTCTCTGCTCAAGACCTCAGACTCAAGAGTCATAGTGAGCCTGGAAAACTTGGTAACTGGCTGAATGGCAAATAGGTGTAATGTGAAGAAAAAAGAAAAAAAAAAGGCTCAGAGTCAGATGTGGTAGCAATGCCTATGATCCCAGTATTTGGAAGGCAAAGGTAGAAGGGTTGCTATACATTTGAGGTCTTCCTTTAAAAACAAACAAACAAACAAAAGGACCGCTTGCATAATTCTTCAAGTTCACAATATCTAAAGGTCAAAATTATACAGAATCGAAAATAGCATAAGCCTGACATCTAAAAAGTCTTTGTAAGTGCAGCTTGGGTCTGCTTGCGGCTTAAATGAAGTTCCCGTTTGGTTAAGTAGATGCAATCATTGCAGAGTGAGGTTTCCAGAGCTCCGCTCCCTTTATGTCACTTGTCCCCCTGGCCTATGGGAGATGAGATAACGGCCGGCGTGGGGAGAACTCCTGTCATCCTGAGCTGCTTAAAGCGGTCCTGAAAAGGTCAGATTGACACAGTGCTTGACTCTGAGATATACAGGGAGCTTACCCTGCCAGCACTTCAAGAGGCTGGTGGGTTGGCTAGGCAGTTGGCTCAGAGAGGTCATGTGACTCACCTAGGGCTGCTGGACCTTTGGTACCAGGGTTTGAGTCAGAGTCTACTTGGCTTGGAACTTGCATTCTCTTCCTGGTGTTACCTTTCTCTGTACTGCTTGAAGGAGCCCCACTAGGGTCTAGTAGATTAAAAATTATCTTTCGGCTGGATCCACACAAAAGCATGGTTTCCAGCCAAGCCAATTTAGTAAATTGATTTGTAAACTCCTGTGTATTCCCAGAGTGCTCTGAAGGACCCTTGAGATACAGCTTTTGCTGGGAAAATGCTGTTTGGAGTGAAAGTCTCATCCGGCTCCCTCCCCGTTTCGATTTTAGTAACAAATAGTGCAGCCAGCACTGGCTGCATCTGCCTGCCTGTCAGTTACCCAGAGCAACAGGGGTGCTTCTTACCTGTCCAGACTCCTCCTTCAGCTGTGGAGGTCTCAATACATCATGCCAAAACAGTGTCACCAATGGTAACTTCATCTAGTGGCTGAACAGGGTGAGTAGAATGATGTCTACATGGCCACTTTATGGGTTAATCCACTCTGCTGGTGACTGCTGGGCCACAGTTAGGCTTTTAGATCAGCTCGGAGGGATTAAGGCCCATTCTGGTGCGAAAAATACAGAAGTGTGTTGTACCCAGTGGTCAGAGATAGCTCCTTAAACATTGTGCCTGCCATTCAGTCTTTGCCAATTAACTCAAGACATTCTTTTATTCTGTCTTCTGTGGTCCGTCTGTGAATTTTTCCTCCAGGTCTTCTCCCTTCATTGGCTGGGCCAATATTAATGAGCGAGGCTACAGGCCCTGGTCCCTGGTGCTCCTCAGGTCTGCCGCCATGCTCACTTTCAGGTTAGAGGGAGCTCACACTTTGCCAAAGTGAAACGGAACAGTTGACTGTTATGTAATGCCTCTGTCTGTGCTGTCTGAGAGTGCCCTGTGGCTGTCCCGCCTCTTATCTGCACAGGGGTCCTGTGAAGTGGGCAGAGATGGAAGCATCTCATCTGGAGATTAAAGACCCAGCCAAGCTGAGAGCCTTTTTTCTCCCGCATGAGAACATCTTTGGCTGCCCCTCTGTGCCTGTCTCAGGACGGTTTACTCTGCTCCCGATATCTTAATGAAGGTGACAACTGTTGGCCGTGGGCCACTCTGTCCAGCAGAGCATCAGGCTGTAGCCTTCTGGGCTTGGGGGAGTGTTGTCAGTGCAGAACAGCTACTTCATCCATGGGAAACACTCCACAGACAAGAGGATCTATCAGAGCAAATAAAATAAAAGCTTATTAATAGAGAAACATGGACAGGGACGGAAAGGGCAAGATTCTAGTCACAAGCTACACTCGAAAGATGAGTTATTTGAAACTTTAGGGGCTAGAGAGGTTGATCAGTGGTTAAGAGCACATTCTCGTGCAGAGGACCTGGGTTAGTTCCCAGCACTCACATCCAATAGTTCACAACTCCTGCCACTGCAGCTCCAGGAGGATCCAATGCTTTCTTCTGGCCTCCACATGTACCTGCGCTCACATGCATGTGCACATACATACCCACACGTCCATACACACAATTAAAAAAAACTTCAAAGTAAGTCTTTGAACTTCTGTTTGCTACCCAAACTCTGACACTCCCAAATATGAAAGCTCGCCCTCGAAAACAATGTCTAAACTACAAGCAAGGCACACACCTATAATCCCAGCGTGTAGGGGCTTGAGACAGGAGGAGCTCAAGCTCCATGGCAATTTGGGCTGTACAGTGAGAGAATGAGAACCCTGTCTTAATTAAACCTTTTTTTTTAAAAAAGAAAAGAACTAGAAATTATATTAAAATAAGATCTAAGCCTATAGAGGCTCAGATAATCGGGTTATTACTTGAAAATACACACTGAATGAGGAAGACATTGAAAAATAATAAACTAAGACATACAAACTGGGGCTTATAAAGGTTGCAGCCAGTGATGTTGTCATCTTGTTACCTCTACTGGAACCAACTTGGAAGATTCGTGTGTGTGTGTGTGTGTGTGTGTGTGTGTATGTGGGGTACTTGTGGAGGTCAGGGGTTTGTGCCAGGTGTCTATGTCTCTTATGATCAACTTGATCTTTTGAGACATGGTCTCTCACTGAACCTGAAGCTCACCAATTAGTTGGGGTGCCTGGCCAGTGAGCTCTGGGGATATACCTATCTCTACGCATCCTAGTGTTCAGTTATAGGCACACTACCGCACCCACATGTTTGCTTTGGTTTTGTTTTGTTTTTTTGTTTTCTTTTAAATGTGAGTGTTAAGGTTCTGAACTTAGGCTTTTGTTTTTTTTATTTATTTGTGACAAGTTTTCTCTGTGTAGCCCTGGCTGTCCTGGAACTTCCCCTGTAGACCAGGCGGCCTTGAACTCAGAGACCCACCTGTCTCTGCCTCCCAAGTGTTGGGATTAAAGGCTTACACCACTACACTCACCCTAAACCTTTTCTTAAGAAATTATTTCATATTTAAAACTCTTTTAAGTTATGTTCTCATCTCAAAGCCCACACCTAGACTGCTCACAGGAAGAATTCTACAAGGAGAACTTGAATGGGACAGAATTGTTAGGAAGTGACAGCAGCTGCTATCCCTTATTGTTCCGTGGGTTCTTGATAGCCTGATGTAGCTTTTTGGGGCGAGCAGCTTCCAAGAGGCCTGTGATCTGTGTCAGTTTATCTTGGGAGATCCTTCAATAAGGAGAGCACATGGCAGTCTAAG